CTCTTGAAGATCTGTGTTGCTGTTTTTGGTAGCAGCTTCTTTGAACATATTCCAATCTGTGATGTTGAAACAGTCTTGAAGTGCTTCTGAAGATCCCTCCGGCCACACTCGTACCTGTTTGCAGACTGGTTTGGTGACTTTAACCAGTGGTCTGTATGCTGGCATTAGCATAACACTGATGTGATCAGAGGCGCCGATGTGGGGGAGGGGAAGAGCCTTGTAGGCTCCTTTCATGGTGGTGTAAACTTGGTCCAGTGTATTTTTTCCTCTTGTTGGAAAGTGTATGTGATTGTATGTCTTTGGAAACACACCTCTTAGATCTGCATGGTTAAAATCACCAGCCAAAATGAGAAAAGCATCAGGGTGGGCTGTCTGCTGCTCACTGATGTGCAGATACAGTTCATTTAGTGCCTCACTTCTATTTTTGTTGCTGGAGCTTGGAGGTATATAAACAGCGACGCTTATAACAGCTGTAAATTCCCTCGGTAAATAGAATGGTCGGCCTTTAATAACCATAAATTCCACTACAAGTGAGCAGTGTTTGTAGACCACAGCAGAATCACGACACCAGGCATTGTTGTAAGGTAGCAGCTTCTTTGAACACAAAGTCCCCCGCCGCGGGTCTTACCTCCCTCAATGAGAGCTCTGTCCGCTCTGTAGCATGTTAGCTGCTCGAGCTGAATAGCATGGTCCGGAACGTTGTTATTAAGCCATGTTTCCTTGAACACAAAAACACAACAGTCTCTCGGAGTCTTCTGTGTTGTTCGTAGTAGGCGTATATAATCCAGTTTATTGTCCAAAGAGCGTACGTTAGCCAAAACCATGGATGGGATGGCCAGCTTGTGTGGGCTAGCTGCTAGCCTAGCTCGGATACCTCTGCGCTTACCCCGCTTCTGCTTCCTGTCGCGCCGCTTATGGCGCATGGCGCTTCCACTGTGGGCATGATGAAGGAGTGAGGGTACCGGCTTCCAGAGCAGGCCACAGTCACGTAGCTCTTTTTGAGTTTGCTATTTATTCCTAAAAGTGTGGTTTTTCCGACATCAAGCAGGAACTCACGGCTATACTTGCGTTTTAGGACATGTAGACATGACGAAGACGTACAAGCACACTCCGGCTTGCAGGACAAAGAAAACGAAAACACCGTTTTGTCAGGAGGGAGAGAAGCCGCAGCGTGTGCGTGCGCCGCCAACATATTATTTTGTTTAAAACATATGGCTAAAATTACATTTGATATCTTTTGCACTATTTTGCACTACAAGAAAGAAGCCTAATACTTGATTTGTTTTTATTTAAGAACTCTCTGGACCTAGTAGTGGATTTTTCTTGATTGAGATTATTTTGTAGTATAGTAGTTTTCAAAATAAATGCTGGCAAAATGACCCCCTATGCCCCCCCCCCCCCCATTCCTTATTGCAAGTTTTATACAAAAAAATGACATACACTACATTGTCAAAAGTATTTGCTCACCCATCCAAATTATCGGAATCAGGTGTTCCAATCACGTCCATGGCCACAGGTGTATAAAATGAAGCACCTAGGCATGCAGACTGTTTTTACAAACATTTGTGAAAGTATGGGTCGCTTTCAGGAGCTCAGTGAATTCTAGTGTGGAACTGATAGGATGCCACCTATGCAACAAATCCAGTCATGAAATTTCCTCGCTCCTAAATATTCCACAGTCAACTGTCAGCTGTATTAAAAGAAAATGGAAGTGTTTGGGAATGACAGCAACTCAGCCACGAAGTGGTAGGCCACGTAAACTGACGGAGCGGGGTCAGCGGATGCTGAAGTGTGTAGTGTGAAGAGGTCGCCAACTTTCTGCAGAGTCAATCACTACAGACCTCCAAACTTCATGTGGCCTTCAGATTAGCTCAAGAACGGTGCGCAGAGATCTTCATGGAATGGGTTTTCATGGTCGAGCATCTGCATCCAACCCATACATCACCAAGTGCAATGCAAAGCATCGGATGCAGTGGTGTAAAGCACGCCGCCACTGGACTCTAGAGTAGTGGAGGCACGTTCTCTGGAGTGATGAATTGCTCTTCTCCATCTGGCAATCTGATGGACGAGTCTGGGTTTTAGTGGTTGCCAGGAGAACGGTACTTGTCTGACTGCATTGTGCCAAGTGCAAAGTTTGGTGAAGGGGGGATTAAGGTGTGAGGTTGTTTTTTCAGGAGTTGGGCTTGGCCCCTTATTTCCAGTGAAAGGAACTCTAATTGCTTCAGCATACCAAGACATTTTGGACAATTTCATGCTCCCAACTTTGTGGGAACAGTTTGGAACTGGCCCCTTTTTCTTCCAACATGACTGTGCACCAGTGCACAAAGCAAGGTCCATAAAGACATGGATGACAGAGTCTGGTGTGGATGAACTTGACTGGCCTGCACAAAGTCCTGACCTTAACCCGATATAACACATTTGAGATGAATTAGAGCGGAGACTGAGAGCCAGGCCTTCTCGTCCAACATCAGTATGTGACCTCTCAAATACGCTTCTGGAAAAATGGTAAAAAATCCCCATAAACACACTCCTAAACCTTGTGGACAGCCTTCCCAGAAGAGGTTTTTTTTTCATTTCATTTACCCTTTATTTATACTGATAGTCTCATTGAGTCACAAGAACCCATTTTCAAGAAAGACCTGTTTTTAGGGAGCACATGGTGGGGGTTAAGGGCCTTGCTTGCTCAGGGGAGTAGTGGCGCAGAGGTTAGAGAAGATGGGCCTGTGATTGGAAAGTCGCAGGTTCAACTCCCGGTACCGTCAACATCAAAATATGGGTGGAAAAGGTGAAACACCCACACCTGCCTCCACCTTCATTCGAGTTGAAGCTGTTCTAGCTGCAAAGGGTGGACCAATGTCATACTGAACTCTATGGATTAGGAATGGGATGTCACTTAAGCTCATATGTGAGTCAAAGCAGGTGAGTGAATATTTTTGGCAATGTAGTGTATATCGTTACCGCCACCCATCACAATAGGTATTGGGGATTTGAATTTTATGCCAAATCGCACATCCCTATTAGGAATGAGATCATCAGAGGTACAGCACAGGTTGAACAACTAGGAGATAAAGTGAGAGGCCAGACTGAGATGGTTTGTACATGTCCAGAGGAGGGACAATGGGTATATTGGTGGAAGGATGTTAGAAATGCAGCTGCCTTGAAAAAGACAAAGAGGAAGGCCAAAAAGGAGACATGCGTGCAGTTAGAGAGGACATGGAGGTAGTTGGAGTGAGGACAGGGGACACAGGAATGCTCAGATGCTCAGGGAGCTTGTGTGTTTTCCCAGACACATGAAAAATTAGAGGGAACATTGCTGTTTACATGTTTTAATCACATAGATGGCACTTAATGAGACATTTGAGTTAACATTTATAAATTAATGTTTGAAACAAAACGACTTCTGTAAATCTTGCTGAGTATGAAAACCTGGAAAACTGTTTGGTTTGAGACAATAAAACATTTTCAGCATTTTATGAGAACCTGCATATTTACATTTCAAGCTTACAAAGTTAAGCATAGTGATTAATCAGATTAATCACAGCCCCAGAGTGTGATTATTATGATTAAATTTTTTAATTGATTGACAGCCCTAATTTTTAGTTTACTTTTTTCTTAGTTCATATCTTAGGTCTTATCCTGTTTTTCTTTTACTTTTTATACTTTTGTTGGATGTAACTGGGACCTTGTGTACACAATTTCGTTCCACCATATGTAGTGCGAATGACAAATAACCTCTGACTCTTAATGTACATGTGTTTCAGTGGTTCCTGTCCATGTTTGGTGCTGATTAAAAGAACAAGCTCCTCAATATTGAAGGCCTGATGTGGACCAGCAGGACCCAGAGCCTTTTATCGTAGAGTGGAAGAGAAGATCCTTGGACCAGTGTGGTGGGAGACCAACTCAATATGGAGACGACTGATATCAAGTTTTTGGTCACTACAGTTCCTTTAAAGAGTGAAGAGGATACTTTTTTTTTAACCAGGAACCTAGATTTAAAGACTCGCAAAGACACTTCCAACTCTTCAAAGACTGACGTTGATGAGGTTGATGAAGAGGATGGGGAAATGACCAGTCCTGACTCTCTGCTGAAGAACTCATCAGACTCTGAATCAGAACATGAAGACAGCATGAAACACTGGAAGGAGAGCAGGGCTCCTGAATCAGAGGTAAATATTGTCAACAAATCTTTGAGCCTCTCAGAGTGTGGTAAGCAGTATGTCAGTAACTGGACTATTCAAAGACACATGACAAGTCATTCAGGAGTGAAGTCTTCAAGCTGTCTCCTTAATAAGAAATGTGTTGGAGAGAAGACAAATGTTGAGTCATGCTGGAAAGTCCAGTCAAGGCCAAAATCAATAAACTGTGATGACTGTGGTAAAAGATTTACTTGCAAATCACAACTAAGCACACACATGAGAGTCCACACTGGAGACAAACCATTTCCTTGTGAACTTTGTGGGAAAAGATTTAATCATAAAACAAATTTCAACACACATATGCGAGTACACACAGGAGACAAACCGTTTCCTTGTGATTTTTGTGGACAAAAATTTAGTCGGAAGGACGGTTTAAACTCGCATATAAGAGTCCACACAGGTGACAAACCATTTCCTTGTGATCTTTGTGGACAACGATTTAGTCAGAAGTCTAGTTTAAACACACACATAAGAGTCCACACCGGAGACAAACCATATCCTTGTGATATTTGTAGCCAAATATTTAATCAGAAGACACATTTAAACAGACATATGAGAGTCCACACAGGAGACAAACCGTTTCCTTGTGAAATTTGTGGACAAAGATTTAGTCAGAAGTCGAGTTTAAATTCACACATGGGAGTTCACACAGAAGACAAACAGTTTCCTTGTGAACTTTGTGGACATAAATTTAGTCAGAAGTCGAGTTTAAACTCACACATGAGAGTTCACACAGGAGACAAACCATTTCCTTGTGAACTTTGTGGACAAAGATTTAGTCATAAGACAAGTTTAAACATACACATGAGAGTCCACACAGGAGACAAGCCGTTTCCTTGTGAAATTTGTGGACAAAAATTTAGTCAGAAGTCAAGTTTAAACTCACACATGAGAGTACACACAGGAGACAAACCGTTTCCTTGTGAACTTTGTGAACAAAAATTTAGTCAGAAGTCAAGTTTAAACAGACACATGAGAGTCCACACAGGAGACAAACCGTTTCCTTGTGATCTTTGTGGACAAAGATTTAGTCATAAGACAACTTTAAATGAACACATGAGAGTCCACACCGGAGACAAACCGTTTCCTTGTGAACTTTGTGGACAAAGCTTTAGTCATAAAACAAATTTAAACACACACATGAGAGTCCATACTGGAGACAAACCGTTTCCTTGTGACGTTTGTGGACAAAGATTTAGTCAGAAAATAGCTTTAAAGTCACACATGAGAGTCCACACTGGAGACAAACCGTTTCCTTGTGAACTTTGTGGACAAAGATTTAGTCGGAAGGACACTTTAAACTCACACATTAGCGTCCACACAGGAGACAAACCATATCCTTGTGATCTTTGTGGACAAAGATTTAGTCGGAAGACGCATTTAAACACACACATGAGAGTCCACACAGGAGTGAAAACTTTGTCACTGTAAACATTAAAATAACTATTTTAGGCCATGAGATGCAACTGGTATTGTTACCCATTTAAATGTTTTTTTTTATTATTATTTTGTAAAAATCATTCTGACAATTTTCAACGAGTTCCCAAACTATGAGTTGATCCTTATATCTGAATAATTATTTTAAAAATAATAAAATAACTAACTTAGCATTAGTTCATAATTTGGACTGTAGATGTTTCTAAAATTCTGGTTCAGTGGCTGCAATATGTGGAGAGAACCAACCAACCAATCAAATTACTCTGACGTTCAAAATGGCAGACCCCTGAAATGTGTTAATCGTGTAATTCCTGAGGAAAAAGTGATTTTATTTCTATTTCTGCAAGAAGTTATTCAAAAGAAATCAAGGAATGTGTGTAAAAGAAAACACCACAATGGTACAACAAACTACCACTAAACATTTTGAAAGTTACAATGATGTTTCACTGATAAAAGACAAAAATAGAAATTTCCATAAAGTGAACCAAAATCATGAACATGAATCTAGGCCTTTCACGATAACAAATTTTGCTGGGTGATTTTCTCGGAAATTATTTCAATAAACAATAATATTGTTTGAAATTTTACAATAATTAGTAATTATTGTCAAATTTAAGAAGAAATGTTTAAATTTTTTTGTGTGTAGTACTTTTTATCGACCACTGGATGGCTGTATAAAACTGTTTGAACCGAAGGATGGTTAGTGAGGGAGCCAACAGCGTGTCTCTAAGACAAATGGAAGGGAGGCCCTTTGACGTGACATGGGCTGTCTCTTGTCATTCCCCTATCTGTTACGGAAGCACGATCCATAGTGTACTTCCGGGTCTCATGGATCTCAGTTGTTTATGAATACAAACTGTCTTAATTTACTTGGAAAAGTATGTGCTCTATGTCCACCGATCTTCATGTAGCTAATTTATGCCACTCGTATTTCTGTTCGGATCGCCGTTGTTTATGAATAAAAACTGTCTTAATTTACTTAGAAAAGTACGTGCTCTGTCTGCACCGATCTTCTTGGAGCTAATTTATGCTACTCGTATTTCCATTACAAATCATTGGTTAAGATGATATGCGACGCATTAGACCTGACCCCCAGCCTGGGCTGAATGAGAAAAACCCTACAAGATACAGAATTAATTATTTCCATGGTGAAACAGCGCCACTCAGTGGTGAAGCTGCATGTCATTTTAACCATAACATAAGTATGTCAGTTATTTTAACGGAAATACAAGTGGCATAAATAAGCAACATGAAAATCGGCGGAGATACAGCACATACTTTTCTAAGTAAATTAAGACAGTTCTTCTTCATAAACAGAATTGTACCAGTACATTTCCCTAGCATATTCAACGGCGACCCGGAAGTATTCCTTTTAGCAAATGTGCAAATGAGCTACACTACGGATCAGGTTCCATAACAGATTGGGGAATGACATCTCTCTTTGGTTCTCAAAATGGCGGACACTCTGTGTGGTTGGAGCTCATTAGCATAGTATTTTTCACACAAAGCTTTTAATAAAAAATCAGTAAACAAGTTCTCAGCTTTATTTTGCAGAGAAAAACAACTTTTTAGACAAAGGCACAGCTTTCAACCGTGAATTTTGGAGCTTTGACAAAAGTTTTTTTTCCCCTAGGTCAGCCAGTTAGCTTAGCTCGTAGCTTAGCTTCTCAGCTTAGCTGGTTTTAACCATCCAAAAACACGATTTTGGATGGTTAAAATTTATTTTAAATCGAAAGGGAAGTGTCAGTGAAGAGCACCGGAGTTGAGCCTTTTATCATCCAGTGTCTTCAGTAGAAAGAGAGACACGAAGAAGCGATAAAGCCGATAAATGAGGTAGCTAATTTTCATTTACCATGCAATTAATTGATTTATTGTTTATTGTGACAGGCATACATGAGTCTACCCTGAAGCTGTTAAGACTCATAAATCCCTAACCAGGACCGTAAGAAAAAAAATCACTGTAATGCCACTTTGATTGGTGATATGTGACTTATCTGTGCTGCTGATAATCCATGCTGCTGATCTCATGCTGCTGATCTCATGCTGCAGTATTCATTCATATCCATCTGCTCACCACAGACTCATGTTCGAGCTGTTGTTGATACGCTGTATTGTTGTACATTATTAGTGTTTATCTTAGATCTTTTAGCGTATCATTTGCCATTCATTTACCATATATCTTGGTGTATATCTTAGATCCTTATATACTGTTTCTTTTTGCACTTTATATGTTTGCTATTTTTGTGTGTAACGGGGACCTTGAGTACATAATTTCGTTTCACTTCATGTACCACATGTGATAGAAACGACAATAAAATTGACTTGAACTTGAACACTAGACCTTACGATTTCTGCATGGCCACACCACCATAAAAAAGTTCCAGATTGTGTTTACCTGCTAATAATGAGAGTACTTCACAGTAGCTGTCCAAATGAAACAACCGTGTGATGCCTGACAATGTTCGGTCAGGTCATCTGGACGTTTTTTTGGGGGGGGGGGGGGGGGGGGGAGGGTGCTGAGACGTTTCATCCTTCATCCAAAGGGCTTCTTTGATCTGAGGAGCCACCAAACAAAACTGATTCCCACAAACAGCATAACCATAGTGGA